AATTTATAGTGGCAGAATGTAGATCCACAGTTTTGAGAGTAACAGAAATGTTATCCCAATTATAGGGATGGCTTCATGATCACATCCATATGTCAAAACTTATCAAATTGGACACTTTAAATATGTGCAAGTTACTGGGCTTCAACTATATCTCAATAAAATTAGGGAGAAAAAGGAATAGCATTCTTCCCATACCGATATTAAACGTGCATTCACGTTTATCACCTTAAGTTACCCTCTGCACCAGCCAGGGCCCAGGCCCCTCGCTTTAGGAAGCGTCTCTTTAAGTGCTATAGAGCATTCAGCTCGCTGCAGCCGGTGGGTGGGAGGAAGCAGATATAATTCACTGACCATAACGCTACTGGGAGTTAGATTTGAGTCTAGGAGAAGCCAGGTCTAAGAGTCACGGAATACTGGGATGGACTAGCTGTGGCCCAGCCCAGCGTCCGGAGGCAAAGGGCTCATGCACCATCACTGTATTCGGGGCTGGACACCAGGGAGCAGAGGTGAAGGTCAAGGGGACGGAGCCAGAAAGGGGAAGAGCGGAGGAGGGTGTGCGATCAAGGCAGCTGCAGGCAAGGGTCACGGTGCCTAGATCTGGGAACTGGGCCCTGGGAAGTTGTATAAACTGTCTTGGGGTGTCCCCTGGGGTCGAGTGGTGGAGAGGAAGGGGAACATTTATGTCCTGGCTCCCACCACCCATCGGTCAGAGGTTCGACGACCCTCCTGCCCTTCAGGTTGTGCACACTCGGGCCTGGCCACACAGCCGTCGGGGGCAGAGTTAACAGAAGTCCAGGTGGGCAGGAAGCTTCCCTCTGGGAAGAGCCCACTGGGCCCACGAAAAGCTGGAATGGGACACTGCCTTAGGACTGCGAGGACAAGAGGATCTGAGCCTGTGAGTAAGAGTGTCTGATAAAGACTTTGTCAGGGGTTGCCAGGGAAGGCTCCAGAAGGAACAGGTGCACCAGAGCCAGGCCCTGAAGAATGAGGAGGATTTCACAAGTGCGAGAGTGTGTGTGGCATGGGCAGGGGTGGTGGCCTCGGCTGAGGGAACAGCAAGGACAAAGACTCGGAGGCGGGATCATGGAATGTCTGTTGGACGTAGAGGGTCCTGCGTCCATCTGGCTTCTGTTAATGCTTCTAGTGGGCCTCTGTGATCAGCTCTTGTGATTGGCTCAGGGGTCAGCACATGACCCAGGCTGAGCCAATCAGAGCCAGTGGGCATCAGTCCCAGGACTTTGCAGGAACAATTGGGGATTGCTAGAGGGGCAGGACGTGAGCCTGGAGCTGTTGGGGATGTCCTTGTCACACCTGAGGAGAGGATGCCCGATAATGACTCTGACACCCAAAAGAGGAGCTGAAAGATGGACCAAGCTCCTGATGTCCAAGTGCCTGGACCCCCGCGTGCCACCGATCAGGATCTGTCCTTCGACTTTGCAGTTACTCAAGCCAATGAATTCCATTCTCTATTTAAGGGGCTTTGAATCGGCTCCTGTCACTTGTGACCAAAATTGCCCTAAAGCTGCACTGTATCCTCAGGACCTCGTAAGTGTCTGACACAAAGTGACGTTTAGGGATTGGAATTCCTTGGAACGCCTAGAACATCCTTTCTTCTCTGGACACTGGCTCCCTGGGGAAGCCCTTCCGTTCTCGTGGCGCAGGGCACGTTGGCCATCGCGTGTGCTCCGGGATCAAAACACCTGGGTTCAAATCCAAGCTGAGCCAGATACTAGATGTGCAACCAAAGGAAAATACCTTACTCTCTCTGTGCCTCGGTTTCCCCACCTGTAAAATGGGGTTGATGCTACTACTTACTTCATAGGGTCACTGAGGCCTTTTAACACCGAGTGTGTTAGTAGAATATGGGAAATGCTCACACTAGAGCCCGACACGCAGTTAGCATTCGGTACCCCGGAGCCGTGTCAGCAGTGTGCCCACGACAGCCGAGTCTGTATCTCAGATTCATGCTGTCTTCAGAGCCCCAGGCCCGTAGACAGCTCTGCTCAGCGGGACTGAGCCTGGGCTCGGCCTCCGCCCCAGTCCTCACGTTCGATCAGCGTCTGGTTCCAAAGCTCCGTGAAAGGGCCCACACCCTCTCCGTTGCTCGTGCCAGAAACCCGGGACTCCTCCTGGGGCACCTGCCCCCACCCCCGTACCCAGGCGTCCCCAGGTCCTGTTGAGTCCCCTCCTCCCTTATCGTCTCCGGGTCCTGGCTACTCCGCGTGCAGCCCATGGACCGGACATCAACATCGGACCCTCAGCCCCGCCCCGGGCCTATGACGACTATCTGCATTTTAACAGCATCTCCAGAGGATTCGTGTGGACATTGAAGTGTGAGAAGCTTCTCACGTTTCCTCAACCTTCTAATTTTCTCAACCTTTGCTGCACACTGACACCATCTGGGGGTCTTCAAAAATTCCGATGCTCGTTCCCCCCTGCAGAGATTCTGGCCGTCTCGGCCTAGGCTGTCACCGCAGCAGTCCAGCCCCCGCCAGCCCTTCCCTACTCTTCAGCCAGGGCGGCCTCTCACAGCAGAAGAATATTCTATCCCCGAGAATTGAGATAAACCACACATGGACAGAAATAAAAGTTATTTTCTCTCACTGACCCCAACTTTCTCCTATAAGCCTTCTCATCCTGCAGACAGCAGGGAAAACAAACAAATAAACCAAAATAAACCGACTTGATTTTACCAGTCAAAGGGGACTCAGGTGACTCTCTTTGGGAGAGATGCTCCCCTACAAGGTTCTCCCCGCTGCTGTCCCCACCAGCTTTCCTTCCTGAGATAGCACGTGCCTGTGCATTCAAGGGGCACACGCGTGTTGTCAGGGTGCAGGGGGAGTGGCCACTCATCCACATGTGCCCTCTGCCCACCCCTTGGGCCCAGGTGTGCTGACTCACTTACCCCTGAGCTCTGGCCTCTGCCTGAGCTGAACGTCCCGGTGCTGGCCATGGTCCCTGCCAGCCTGCGGGCGTGGCCCACATCTGCTGCAGCTGCTGGTGCACCCTGCCATCATCTCCCTGTGTCCTCCTTGTCCTGCTCCTCTGGGCCCCTCTGAACCCTCCCCCCAACCCTGGGAGGCACACGGAGACTTGTGCGCCTGTGAATGTCACCCACAGGCCCCTGGGGGCAGCAGGGCTCTCTCAGGCCTGCTGGTCCCGACACCTCTCTCGGTGTCTCCATGAGCCAGGGGGGCCGGCAGGGGCGCGGCACCAGCCCGGACGCTCTCGGACTCCCCCTGGGGTGGCCGTGGGCGGTTCTGTCTTCTCCCCTCCCCAACAGACCACGCAGAGTCCCAACCCTGGGCTCAGGCGTGTCCCCCTCCTGCCCCCGCCTTCTCACTGCAGGACTCCCAGGTTCTGTCCTCTCTGGGGCGGAGCTTGTCTTGCGTCCGGGGCGGATTCCCCTAAGCCCACAGTGAAGCTCTCTAGTCCGAGCTGGTCAGGCCTGACCCATGTATGCAGGAGGACCTCTGGGTTTAAAAAACCAAAAAAACCTTTTTCTCTCCCCACAAGGCCGGCTTTCAAGGCTGCAAACTTAAGAAAGCCAGTCTGGCCCCTTTGTCCTGATGAACACCTGCCATCCCCTTCCCCAGCCAATAAGCCTCCCGGACTTTTCCGGCGAGACTTTTCTGTCTGCAAGACAGCGTGCTGTGGGGTAGGAGGAGGGAGGATTAAGATAAAAGCAGCCTCCTCACAACCCACATGGCCATCGGCTGCTGAGAGCGTAACCAAATTATGGTGTAGCCACGCAGCAGAATATTACGCAGCAAGGAAAAAGGAACCGGCTCTGACACACATGCGGAGGCATCTCAAAACCACTGTTAGGTGAAAGCAGCTCATCACAAGAGGCAGCACACCGCGTGAGTCAACTTATGAGGAAGTCTAGATGAGGCAGAAGTACGGAGTGGGAAGCAGATCAGTGGAGGGGTGCAGGGGAGGGGATTGATTATAAGGGGCACGAGGGGACTCTGGGGCATAACGGAAATTTCTGTATCTTGAGCATGGTGGTAATTACACAACTGTATGCCCTTGCTCCAAATGACTGCATTGCACATTTAAAGTTGGTGGATTTTATCATATGTAAAGCATACCTCAGTATAGCTGATTGAAAAACAGAAAAACTTAAAAATCACCAGTTTTATATTTTCAAACATCAGGCTTATTTTATATTGAAAACTGACATCCCGTGATCTGATTCTCCATTTCAAACCCCTCGCTGCCTTTGGTACCAAGTCTGAAATCTGCACTGCTCCCCCCGTCCCTTCACCCGCTCACTGAACTTGGCTTGCACCTCATCTCCTAACACGGGCCGCCCCTGACCCCCAAGACGGGGCCAGGTCTCCATGTTCTGTGACCCCACGACAGCCCCCACCCCCTTCTCACATTGGTGACTGTTTAACTATTTGCTTACTTTCCATGTTTCCCCTTAGGCTGTGAGTTTGGTGTCCCCAGTGCAGTACCTAACACACGCACGGAATGTTTGTTGAATGAATGAATGAAAGATCGGTGAGTAGTGTGGTGGGGCTGGGGTGTTTTTGCACAAGGGAAGGTATTGAACAAAAACGAGGCAGAGATCTAGGGAAAAGCCACAAGGGTGGGCCCTGAAAAGGGCAGAGGGAATTTAGAAAGGAGAAAGGAATACGAAAAGACGTTCCAAGATGTGGGACCGGCCCAAGCTGCGGCTTGCAGTCGCCACATCAGTGTCCCGGGAGGCAGGGGTGTCGAGAAGAGAACAGCTGCTCTAAACCACACTCAGACACCATTAGCAAGTATTTACCGAGTGCCAATCACACGCCCAGAACCGTGGGGAAGTTGCGAGGAGTACGGGCCGTTCCCATCGGTCTCCACCCCCGTCTCACCGCCCCGCACGTTGGCCTCTGCCTTGTGGAGACCGATTCTGCATCGACAGCTGCCGTCCGCGCCCAAACGGGCAGGAAAGCAGCCCTGCTGCAGGGCCCGGCTGCGACTGCGTTTACGGAGAGCCCGGCCAAGCTGCACCTGCCCTGCTGCGGCTCCCAGCGGCCCCGGACGCGCGGCGCCTGGCCGGAACGCGGGAGACGGGGCCGGGAGGTCAGGGTCAGCCCGGTAAACCAGCATTCACTGACGTCTCCCCGTGCCGGCCGCTGAGGTACGAACAGGGAAATGTCACGCCTGCCGCGCGCAGCCCTTAGACCGGCCAGCGGACATTACCAAAGACCTTCCACGTGCGTTCAGTCACGACTGCTCCGGTTCAGGTATTCAGCAAACACTCGCCTCGTGCCCACTGCGGGCCAGGAAATGTTCTAAGGACTTTACTAAGATAAACAATCGTTATTATTCCCATTTTACCAACACAGAGACTGAGGTGGAGAAAGGCGCGGAAACTGGCTGAAAGTCACACACAGGTAAGTGACAGAGGCGGAAGGCAAACCCAGGCTGTCGGCTCCAGAGTTCACGCTCACACCCCTGACGCACGCGGCCTTGTTTACGTGGTGCTCCGCTCATTCATTCGAGGGGTATTTAGTGAGCTCCTCCTGCGTGCCAGGTGTCGCGTGAGATGCTGGGGCTGCAGAGAGTCCCCGCGCTCCACCGGGGTCTCCGGAGTCCCTGCTCTGTGCTTCGGGGCAGGGCCACGCCTCACGCATCTCTGCACCCGGCACAGGGCACAGGGCACAGGGCACAGGGCACAGGGCACAGGGCTGGCACGTAGCCGGGGCCTGATCCCGTTGGTCGAATGACCCAAAGTGCCAGGTACTGGGAAGAGTGCTGAACGTGGAGCCTGAGAACTTGGACCCTGCTGCCGGGAAGGGAAGTGCTTTGACATGCTCATCCACATTCAGGTATGTTATACATCCCAAAGGGCTCGTATCTGAAGAGTGGAACTGAGATAAGGCAATAATGTCCTCCAAAAGAATGAAGTATTAATGGAGGAATTTCAGGCATCCACGAAGGAGATAATTTGGCGGGTGGGTGGCCCCCAGTCACACCCTGTCATTGATTGGCTCCTCTAAGGGCCTGGGAATGCAGCACATGCTGTCCGACAGTCCGCCCAGCAAGTGCCACGCACTCTGCTTGGGGCTGTGAGTCACCGGGCCTGGCGGGAGGCAGGGCAGCATGTCCACCCCACAGGCAGACAAGTCCTTGGGGACAAGGCAGGGTCTGTGGATGCAGAGCAAGGGCCCGGCCCTCCGTGCAGCCCCACTGTTGCGCCTGGGCTGGGGCTGAAGCCCGCAAAGCTGGCAAAGGAGCCCTGAGGGTGCCCAGGCAGGGCTGCTCTGAACCGAGCCAGCTCCCTGCCATCACACTGGGGTACACCAGGCTCCCCAGCTGCCCACTCCCCTAGCCAGAGGGGCAGCGGCACCAGGGTCCACCTCACAAGTGGGCAGGGCCGGCCGCTCTGCACAGGGCTTCTTGGGAGGCAGCTGGAACCCCAGGGTCACGTGTCAGCAGTGCAGATTCCTGGGCCCCACCCAAACCCGTCAAATGGAACTCTAGGGGGACTGGAGCTGGGACCTGCGTTGCTAATAATCTTTCCAGGGGGGTTCGATGCATTCCCTAAGCCACACACAGAGTCCACTTTTCTAGCTTTGTTCCGGGGACCCCAGGCACAATGGGAGCTGGCAGGGATAGGATCTTCCCAAATTCTCTTGACTCAGCTCAGGGCTGGGGCAGAGACTGCAGGTCTCCTCTGCTGGGTGGGCCTCCTGTCCTAATGAGAGAGACACTCACCTGTGCCCAGGTATACCGGACATGAGGTGCCTCATTCTCCATAAGCTTCACCCCCGCTTTATAAGATGGGGCTGTTACTTCCCCCTTTTTCAGATGAGGAAATGGGGACCCAGAAGGTAAAGTCAGTTGCCCAGGGACAGCTCAGTAGAAGCTGGGACCAAGCTGCAAACCTGCTTCTTCCAAGTCTGTGGCCCAAGTGCCGAACTACAGTGCCATGCCACCCCCACTGCTGATGGGTCCTGCCCCCACCTCCCGGCTGCTTTGCCCCCGGTGTGGGCCCTGGCATTAGTGGCAGCCATCCACGCTGGCCCATGGTTTGGCCATCATGGCCAGCAATGAAAACCTACTAAAAGCCCTCCTTGAATCAGACCCTGTAAGTGCAGCCCTTGGCAGAAGTCAGTTAAACACACACACACATGCAAACACACACATGCAAACACACACATGCAAACACACACATGCAAACACACACATGCAAACACACACATGCAAACACACATGCTCAGGGGTGGTGGCTCTGCCTTCCCTGGGGTCTCTCCAGCCTCACCCATGCCTGTCACACTCCCCTCCGCCACATCCCCTCCTTGCTGTCCGGGATTCCCAGCTAGCTGGCTAGGACATAGCTAAATATGCCCCAGCCTCATCCGAGGTAGAGCAGGTGGTGCTTGGGCATGACACTCCAGCGTGAGCTAGCAGTTACAGTATGCAGAGTGGAGCAGGCCTTTCCTGAAATATCGAGGACATTGCTTCCTCCGTGCATCTGCCGATGGTGTCAGAAACATCAGGGCAGCTTCCACGGTCCAGTTGATCCAGAACAGTGGCGACAGGGGGGCCCGGTGAGGCCACTGCAGCCAGTGCCTTCAGCCACATATGAGGAGACTGAGGCCCAGGGAGGGCCAGGGATGTGCCCCAAGCCATACGGCGGCATCTAGCTGGGGCTGGACTCGTGCTTGACCCAGCTCCCTGTGCAGTGCTCCCTCTACTCCTAAGGTTGAGGCTCTAGAAGCCCCGAGAGACCTTGAGGACCTTCCTCGCAGACCCACTTCTGGGGTCCCCTTCCCTGCACCCGGTGGACCCCACTCCTGACAGCTGCTCTCCTGTCCCGTCCGTGGCTGTTCCTGTTCCTGGTTGCCTGCCCCCACGCCCCTCTCTTCCCGGCCCTGCAACCAGAACAAACGTTTCCCATACTTCATTTCATCACCAAACAATAAAAGCTGGCTTTCCCCTGCTTATTGGAAGTGTTAATTTATTCTCTATGTCACAGGCCAGCTCGGCTGCGAGGATCTGGCTGGGCTGAGCATGCGGCTTTCCGGACGGCCCAGGGACCGAGATGTCGTAGCTTCCAGCAGGAGGGCAGGGCTCCGTCCCGGCCAAGGGGGCAGGAGAGCAGCGGCTCCGACTGCTTCCCTGGCTGGGCCGGGGCCAGTGGGCCCCTGTCCTGACAGTCCTCTGGCCGGAAGGCACAGCTTTTCCACCAGGCTGGGATGAGAGGCCCCTCCCAAGGCACCAAATTAAGAGTGAAGAAAAGCTCGGGGTTGGGGGGAAAGAACCCAGAGCAGCCTGGCCCTGCTGGCTGATCCGCATCCAGCCGCAGCGGCCCCGATCCCAGGCTGGCGCTCGCCTAATCGGCCAGACGCTGAAAAGCCTCTCCCACCTCCTGTGTTGCAGTAAATCATCCGTGGCAGATATCTTCATCTTCAGCACCTCTCTGCACACACATCCTGATCCCAGAATCTGGATTGTCGTCACCTCTGGCCTTCTACCTCCAGTCTGGAGCAGGATAACATGGTGGTTAAGAACTAGACTTGGAGTCAACTCCATCCCTTCCTGGCTGTTGCTCCATCCCTCGGGCAAGTTGCTTAACCTCTCTGAGCCCCCATTTCCTCCATCAGTAAGATGGGATAAGGATAATGCCTTCCTCCTTCAAAGAGTTGCTGTAAAGATGAATGAGCTGATAATTTCAAGTGCTTAACCCAATGCCTGGCACACAGTCCAGACAAACAACCATGATTAACAACCGGTAATAGTTGTAAAAGATGCATAAGAAAAATCGTGGAGCGAGGAGCAATTCCCGGGGCCCAAGGAAGCCATGCACGCAGGCTTGGAGGATGTGGGTACAGTGCGATGGGGAACAGGAAGGTGGGTTGAGCATCAGACCACGGAGGACCAGGCACATGGAGTGGGGTCAGAAGTCCAGCAGGCCAAGGGCAGAGAACTCGCTGGAGTGATTCTGACCCCTAAGCAGAAGCATTTGCCTTCGTTCTGTGTTAGTGCTTCCTGTGGCAGGAACAGGTAGGTTAAGGCCGTGGATGATTGCAGTGGTCACTGTGGTTACTTCCCTCCTCCACAGGTAGGACCGACCCCACCCCTCTCTCCGGGATAACCAATCAGGGCACTTGTGACTCCTCTACCACCCATCAGAGATGGCCTTTTCGGAGCATAGCTCAGAACACCTGTTTCACGGGTATGGAAAGGGTTGTTTCTTTCCCCCAAGAGGAGGAAAAGCAGTTGTATCACCCTGGCTTCTGCTGGTGGCCTTCCTGAGACTGTGAAATAAGCCATTCTAAGGAGAAAGCATGGAAGGCCAAGAATAGAGAGGCAGAGAAACAAAAGTCAAGTCTGGATCAAACTGTGCCTGAAGCCCACGGTACCTCCAGTCCTTTACTACATAAGACGATAAATCTCAACGCTAGCGAGAGTTGGGGTGGTAAGCAGAATAGCAGCCCCCCAAAGATGTCCATGCAACATCCCTAGAAACTGCGCATGTGTCAATTTAGGTGGCAAAAGGGACTTTCAGATGTGATTGAGGTTAAGGACCTTGACGTGGGCAGATTCCCCTGAGTTACTTGGGGAGGTCCAATCTAATCACGTGCGTTCTCACAACTGGAGGACCCTTCCAAGCAATGTGACTAGGGAAGATCGGTCAGAGAAATTCGACATTGCTGGCTTTGGAGATGGGGGAGGGGACTGTGATCCAAGGAATGAGGATGGCCTCCAGGATCTGCAAAGGACAAGAAAACCAATTCTCCCACAGAACCTCCCGAAAGGAACACGGCAATGCTCTTGCCTTATTTTAGCCCAGTGAGGTCCCCGTCAAACCTCTACGGGACTGTAAGATAATAAATTTGTGCTACTTTAAGCCACAAGGTTTGTGGTAACTTGTTACAACAGCGCTAGGAAGCTGAAACAGTTAGGTTTTCAGTTACTTGTAACCAAAAGCATCCTGATTCTATCATAACCACACTTGTTACAGCTAATGGTTACTAAGCAGCTCTTCTCTTTCAGGCTATTGCCAAATTCATGATGCATTCTATCTAATTTAATCATCACTTCAATTCTATATTCTTAAAACTATTAATAGTCCCATTTTATAGATGAGAAAGCTGAGGCTCGGAGAGTTAAAAATCACATAACTAGTGAATAGGGAGCCTGGATCTGAGTCAAAGTCTGCTTTGCCCCACAGCCTGTTCACTTTACACCTTGCAGTTCTCAGTCCACCCCTCTGTGGTGAAGGCCAGCTCATCGGCACCCCAGGAAAGGAAAACGACTGTCCCGTCCAAAGCACAGTAGGGAAATGCCACTTCTTCCAAATCCTCTCCGCAGTTCTAGCCTTACCCTCGAGGCTTGCCTTTATCAACACTCTCCTCTGGTCTATTCTACTCACATGCTATCATTTAAAAGCCACCTTCCCGATGGAAGAGATTTTATCACATTCACAAAATCCAAAGCACCCAGAGAGAAGGTAAAGAATTCCACCGTTGCAGGTGCAGGTGCGTGACCTACACCGATGCTTCCTAAACTTGAATGAGCACGTGAACCACTGGCGGGCTTGAGAGGCTAGCCAGGTCCCAGGGCGTGGCGATGCTGTGCTTTCCCCAGCCACCCTTCACGTGACATGAGTCTGCACAACAGCAAATAGGTGAGCATTTGGAAATCGGAAACGGCCCGGGGTTGGCGTGCTGTTGTGGGGTCCGTCACGTGTGGACATGCCACGGAAACACGGATCCCAGCAGATAATGCTCACGGCTCTGAATGCTCCCGCTCACCTCCCAATCCTGGGTTGTTCTCAACTCCTCTTTCCCTCACCTTTTCCCTGCATGCAATCCATCAGCAAACCCCTCGGCTCTATCTCCAAAGTATATCTGGAATCTGACCCCTTCTCACCCCATGCACCACTCCTTACGAGGTCCGAGGCACCGTCGCCTCTTACCTGCATTGTCACAGCGGCCCCTCCCTGGGCTCCCCACGAGCCATCTTCCATTCCAAAAGCCAGAGGGATTTTTTTAAGTGAACATGAGATCCCTTTCCTACCCTGCTCAAACCCTCCAGTGCAGCAAAACTCCAAATCCTTGCGGTGCCCTACGAGGCTCTCTGTGATCTGGC